AAATATAATCTTCTCTGGAGGAAAAGCAATACTAGAAAAGAATGGGACTAAATTGAATAGTGTAATTATCGAAGGGGGTCTACCCTTTCTTGTAACAGAAGATAAATGGTTGCATAACATTAATGCAAACACTGATGACGAAATTAACACAGACAGCGAACATAATAACAACAATGACAATGAAGAACCCAAAACACACTATAATCACAAAGACACACCCACTAGTGATACACACAATAACAAAAGGCCCAATATAGGCAAACCAATTCATGATGAATGTGCACACATGTTGCATAGAAAATTGGGACATGCAAGTTTCCCTGTAATACAAAAAATGAATGAACATGCTGATGGCGTTAAAATAAAGGATTGTAAAAACTATTTAGAATGCTCAGTATGTAAATCATCAAAACTCAGAACTAACCCAAAACCAAAAAGGGCAACAAGAACCTCTAACCAAATTTTTGATCTGGTACATATGGATCTGGTTGGTCCATTAACACCATCCATCACATACAAAAAAAGATATTTCCTAACTATTGTAGACGACTATAGCCGTTATGGATTTGTTTATACTTTAAAACACAAAGATGAAACTTTCCAAAAATTCAAAGAATTTTACAAACGTGTAGAAACACAACACAATATCAAAATAAAACGAATCATGACAGATAGGGGATCCGAATTCATGTCTAAAGAATTCTCACAATGGATAAAAGACAAAGGAATGCTACACTTCACGACTAGCCCATTTTCTGCGTTTCAAAATGGTACAGCAGAACGAAAAAACTCGACACTGCAAACCATGATTAGATGTACATTAGAAGATGCTGGTTTAGGAAAACAATTCTGGTCAGAAGCATTACTATATTCAAACTATACCCAAAATAGGACCTGGTCTAGCATACTAAATAAAACACCATACGAAGTGATGTACAATAGGAAACCTAAAATTTCACACATGCACATATTTGGGGTTACAGCAGACGTACACATACCAAAACAATTAAGGCGTAAGGGAGATAACGTATCCAGAAGGCTTAGATTCATGGGATACGAAACAGGCACAAAAGGATATAGATTCATTGACAGTAATAACAAATTCATAGTCTCAAGAACAGCAGTGTTTCATGAACAGGCCAACTGGTCTAAGATACATCTTAACGAGATAATCCAAAATACTAAACCAAACATTAAACAACAAGACAGAATAGAAAGAGAGAAACATGAACATAACACACATGATGACAAAAACAAAACATGGACAGGTAACCACACCAGGATAAAAACAGATTCATTAACCAAAAAGGAAGCAAGATATCTACACGATAATGAGAGCATACCAATAAGAACAATCAGGTGCAACAGAAACCAATTACCTAATAAGTATAAGGATTATATAATGTGTGTGAATGACGAGATACCAACACCTAACACATATGAGGAAGTGTTAAAACTTCCCATGGAAGAAAAAGAAAAATGGGAATTAGCCATAACAAAAGAAATGAACAGCTTGCGTGAATTAGGTGTATTTACACCAGTCCCTGCACCTAAGAACAAGACAATTATAGGCACCAGATGGATATTCAAAATCAAAGATTTAGAAGAGGGTAATAAATTATATAAAGCTAGATTAGTCGCACAAGGTTACGCTCAAAAATATCCTGAGGATTACACTGACACATACTCTCCCACTGTAAGAACTGAAAGTGTTAAGACAGCTTTAGTCATAGCGGCTATACTCAATCTTGATGTCTTTCAATATGATGTGCAGACTGCATACTTACATGCAAAACTCGACAAAGAGATATATGTAAGGGCACCTCATAGCCAATGTACAAACAGAGATGAGATCTGGTTACTTAACAAAAGCTTGTACGGATTAAAACAATCCGGCAAGCGTTGGTATGAATGTCTTGTCAGCGTGCTTAAAAATATGGATTTCAAAGCCACAACTGCAGACAATTGCTTTTTTGTTAGAAAGGAAGGTGAATCATTAGAATTTGTGTTAATCTATGTGGATGATATTTTGTATATAGGCAAACATAAAGAAAAGAAAGACTTATTTGTATCCAGACTAAGTGAACATTTCTCTTTAAAGTCGCTAGGAAGGGTAAACAAATACCTTGGAGTTCAAATCAATAAGACAAGAAAGGGATTCAAATTATCTCAGAGAGATAAAATTATAGAACTTCTGGAGAAATGCAATTTAAGAGATGCCAAACCTTGCGATACTCCTATGCAGACTGATTTTTTAAGGAATATGGATGAATTTTCGCCTGAATTCGAGAACAATACATTGTATAGATCAATTATTGGTTCTCTCTTGTATATATCTAATTGGACCAGGCCTGATATAGCTCTGCCACTTAATTTATTATCTAGACATGTAAGTAAGCCACTTATGTATCATTGGGAAGCAGTCAAACGAATACTAAGATATCTAAAGCACAGCATAGATTTCTGCCTACTCTTAGAACCCAATAATATTAAAGAACCTATTATCACCAGTTACGCTGATGCAGACTGGGCAGGTGACATCAAATGTAGAAAGAGCACCTCAGGTTATGTATTATTTTTAAATGGTTGCCCAATATTCTGGTACACTGGGAAACAAGATTTAGTAGCGACTTCCACTACAGAGGCAGAATACGTCTGTTTATCTAAAGCCTCAAATAATTTAGTATGGTTTAATGATTTATTATCTGATATTTGGAAAAATCCAATACTACCATTTGTCATACATGAAGATAATAAGGCAGCTATAGAAATATCAAGATCTGACGCCATTGGTCAAAGATCCAGACATATAGATATCAAATTTAAACACGTCAGACATTTATCTCAGGATGGATTCATTAAAGCAATCCACTGCGAAACCTCAGAACAAATAGCTGATATATTAACTAAACCTTTACCTTCTAAACAACACAAATACTTGACATCAAAATTACAAGTACTATATAGCTCTGAATCCGAATGCAATCATTGTTATATATCGAATCGGCATTTAGAGGGGGATTTGTCATAAGTAAATGCCTTATTCTATAACAAGAGATATGTATATATGTACAGGATATTAAGAGTTAATTTATTCCTCCTCCTTTAATGTATTCATATGTAATCACCCCCACCCTTGACTCCTCCCCTTTGATGTAAATAGAGAATGCTTTTACCTCATGCTGGCTTCTCACTGTAAAAATCTGACAGAACAAGTAGAATGCCTGTTATGAATAAACTCTTCTTTAACTGAAGAAAAATACTTCTGAATTTATTATTGAGTCTGATCCTCAAAATATTGTAACAGTAACACTTAGAAGCTGACATTGCATCATGATGATCCCGCCATGATGACCCCATGCTGCCCAATAGTAGTTGTACATGTGGTCAACAAAACAATGGCTGATATAGTCTCACTCATACATTTTCTTTCCCAGATTGTCCAAGATAGCTCACAGATGTGTTTTCCAAATTACAACTGGTCATTGTTTGGAGAAGAAAGCAGCAGCGACAGGTTGAAAGACTGGTGGAGTCCCCAGGTCTGTAATTTCAGCCCAAGCCATGGAATAAGCCAGAATAAAATAGGAAGTCCAACACCAGAGGTTGGACAGCCATTTATCTGAAATGGTATAGGATTTTGTGCTTAAGCAGGCGGTTGCAGTAGAAGATTTCCAAGGTCCCTTCCAATTCTGTTATGCTGTTCTGTTATTCCATTCAGCAAATGTCATTGGAAACCATCCAGAATTCTACAGAGGGAGACCTGCATGAATAAATGATGTTACAAATGATGGGCTTGTGCTTGCTACAATCACTGGACTGGTAGCATGATGAACCCCAAGGTTGTGTGATCAACAGTCCAATTGGAGAAAAGTTTCACCAGATGGTGTTCAGTTTTGGCCTTGCATATGTCCAGTGCAGGGTGGGTTCTACTTACCTTTACTACCAGTTCGCAACGGAGCCGCACGCTCTCTTCTGCGCTTGCGCAGAAGCGTTCTGATGATGTCAGGGTCGGTGGGTGGAGCCTCCCGCTGGTTTTACTACCAGTTCTATAGAACTGGTGCGAACCGGGGGGCAACCCACCACTGGTCCAGTGATGCTTCCAGGAATTAAAAGTACAATAGCCAGCCACATTCTCTGCTGTGGTACATATGGAATCCATTTAGGACCTGGAGTACATTTACAAGTGCTCTGTCAGGGAAGATTTAAAATCAAGCATTCTCCACCAATTCTGACATCAGTACAGGTTGCAACATGATGTTTGGTTGCATTTATTTGCCAGAGATTAAAGCGAGCAATCAATCCTCCAAGGATAAAAGGACTATCATTATTGGTTAAAGTAGCATTGATTAAATTCCTTACATATTATATAAATGGTTTGGGTTGCTAAACAATCTGAAACTTCATTAACGAGTCAATGAAGGGGACCACTTCCCTAAATAGATTTTTGTCTTCTAAACCCACCCGCCTACAGTATCCCCCATTGCTCTTATCAGCATTGAAGATTTTAGGGCTCATTTTTCTGGCATCTAGGGTGGCTTATCTTATATTTATTCAAAGCCGGTGGGCGGGGGGGGGTGAAGGTGTGGTTTTGCAGATTGCAGAGTTGCATTGCTTTTTTGATCTGGCTGACGGGCAGGTTTGCTTATTACATCTGCATATTCTTCAAAGTTTGGCTTTCCCAGACGCTGTCTCTTTTCATTTGATTTAAGGACCTATTTTACGTATCGATCAGCCAAGTCCTGCAGGCAGAAGAAAGGCGGGGCAGGCCCCAAAACAAACAAACAAAAAAAATCAAACCAGGGATGGGAAGGCGGAGCTGGAAGGGGAGGGACGAGGCGAGACGGCCGCATGCTGCGCGGTGTGGAGCTGAGCAGAGACACCGGGCTGGCTGAAACGCTGCGCCGGCTGAATCGTTCCGCCCGGATTCCCGAAGTCGGTGGGAGGAAAAGTCGTAAGTTCAGATCGGTCGCTGAATATTCCCGAGCATCAAAACAGAGCCAAATTCTGTCGGGCCGGCACCGGTGTGAGAGAGCAGCCCATCCACAGCTCCGGAAAGGCGATATACACGTCGCTCACCAAATATCAGCCGAGCCAGAGGTGGGTGGGCTCGGTTATTAGTTAGAGAATCTGTAAAAGACCCCCCACCCTTCCTCCCTAGTGCAAACCTGAACGCCCGAACAAAAGCAATATTGAGTTAAGAATACGTGACTGGCTTGCCGACGTCATAAATTCCCAAAGCCACAAGTTTCGTGGGAGAGTTTTAGGAGACAAAAACTTGGACTGACTTGTCCGGTCTGAGCGCCAGCTCTTGAAAAGGGAAGCAAATTCGGAATATACCCTGTGATGAGTCCGGCTGGCTCTAACGGGATTTTTGGAAACAGGAAGCCTACAGTTCTAAGGAACTGTAAGAAAACCAGAAATATTTCTGTCCCGTGGGATCTTCTAGAATCAATTTTATTACATTATGCAACGTTCAGAGCCCCACCAACTACTATTTTCACCACTGGGTATTCATATGGGACTTCTTTTCAGCTCGCTTCCCTCCTGCCTTTTTTTTTTTCCTTTTCTTTTTTTTTAGTTAGTGATAAGGTTTGGTTAGAGTTGGCAACTCTTAGAAACGTCTGGAACCTGCTGGGTCATTTTGAGTCACAGAAGACAATAAGTTGAGAATGAATTGAGTGTTGGTGTAAATAGATTTGAATCTGTTAATTTTGCTGGCATAGAAGCAAAGCTCTCGGTTTATCGTTAGATCTCAGTACAGGAGCTGCCTGGCTCTCTGCCTTTTGCAGCATCAGCAGGAAAAGGGGAGGTGATAGGAAAAGAACTGAAAGTGGCAGATACAGTACTAGAGCAAAAAGGGAAAGGACAGAGAACAATTCCCTGCTACCATTTGTTGTACACAGCCACACTTTTTACACACTTTCATACTAATTTTAATATTTACACCTTAAAAAAATGACACCCCAGCTCTCCCCAGCTTTGCTTTGCTGTATTAAAAACAAAAAGGACACTTTTTTACTGTACCTTCTAGGACAGGGGGATTCAACCTTGGCAATATGGCTGATTGGGGAATTCTGGGAGTTGAAGTCTACAGGCCTTAAAAGGTGCCAAGGTTGGACTTCTTAGTACTCTATGACCTTAATTGTTTTCTTGCAGATGTTTTGTTACTCCACTAGGTAGCATCTTCGGTACTAGAAGGGAGTAGTAGATTCAAAGATTCACAGCTCAACCCTGAGCTACATATATTCCCCTATATTGGCAACTACCCATTCTCATGCTCTCTGACAGGCAGTTAGTATGCCAAATTTCATGATTGCTTATTCAGAAGATCTGAGTGCCGTAAAACAGGTCTGTGCAAACTACTTGAAAGGCTGTTACAAGTAGTCCTTGACTTGCGACCACAATTGGGCCCAGTATTTCTGTTGCTAAGCAAAGCAGTTCTTAACTAAGTTCTGCCTCATTTTATGACCTTTTTGCCACAATTGTTAAGCAAATCACTGTAGTTTTAACTGAATCATGCGGTGGTTAAGCAAATCTGATCTCCTACATTGACTCTGCTTGTCAGGAGCAGCTGTGAAGGTTGCAAATGATGATCGCATGAAAGTGCAACTGTCATAAATACATGCCAGTTGCCAAGTGCCTGAATTTTGATCACGTGATCATGGGGATGCTGCAGCAGTTGTAAGTGTGAAAAACAGTTAAAACTCACTTTTTTTTTTCAGTGCTGTTGTAACTTTGAACAGTCATTAAGCGAATGATTGTAAGTCAAGGACTATCTGTATGTGCATGATGGTGGCCAAGGTTGTACCAAAGGCCCTTCTGAATGGTTCCCACTCAGTGGTGGGTTTCTACCAGTTTGTCTGGTTTGGACGAATCTGCAGCGGTGGGAGGCTCCACCCACCCGCCCAGACATCATCACGGATGCTCTGCACATGTGCAGAAGATTCTGCGCATGCTCAGAAGTGCCGCATGCGAGCAAAGCAAGCAGGTGCATGCACGCGCTCACAGTTCCAAACCAGTAGCAAAGGTAAGTGAAACTCACTACTCCTCCCACTGCCCTAAAACAAAGTTACATTGAGATAACTCTGGATAGGATTTCAGTCTTGGGAATGGATACTCAGCAGTGAGACCTCATTAAGGTCTCATTAAGACTTTATTCTGCCTAAGTGTGTTTTGATAAACTTAGAACTATTGATTTAGGCATCAGTGTGAAAGTCACTCACCCAAACCTTTCTATATTTTAAAAAGGACTGCAGTTTTCTTTCTACAAATGTCTGGGTAACAGATGTAAAGTACTACGTAATCAGATCTAAGTGATAACCTATTTGAGTCCTCTATATAAAAATTAGTATATAGCAGAGGCTGAAATAAATACAAGTAGTCATCAACTTATGATCACAATTGAGCCCAAAATATATGTTTTAAGTGAGAAATTTGTTAAGTGGGTTTTGCTCCTTTTTACGACTTTTCTTGCCTTATCTGTTAAGTGAATTTGTTAAATAAATAACATGGTGGTTAAGGGATTCTGGTTTCCACATTGACTTTGCTTGTCAGAAGGCGATTACATAAATGTGAGTCAATTGTCAAGCATTCAAATGTAAATCGTGACCATTGGGATGCAAAACATTTGTAAGTGTCAAAAACTGTCATAAGTCGCTTTTTTCAGTGATGATGTAACTTTGAACGTTCACTAAATGAGCTGTTGTAAATTGAGGACTACCTGTACTAAGGAGTTTCTGGAACAGCAAACTTTAATATCTTCACTTTTTAGCATTTTTATCTAGTATTCAGTATTTGGAGATCCAGGGCCCGGAAGTTATGAGAAACAGATATCGTCAAGGAAATGTAATTAAAAAGCAGTTACCGTATTTTCTGGCGTATAAGACGACTTTTTAACACATGAAAATCTTCTCAAAAGTCGGGGGTCATCTTATTCGCCGGGTGTCGTTCTCCTGTAACCAGGCAGACCAGCCCGAAAGGCTCTGACGAGCCTTAAATGGCTCTGACGATCCAAGCCCTGACGATCCAAGCCCTGACGATCCAAGCCCTGACGATCTGCTAATCAGGCAACTCATTTGGGATCGCCAGAGCCATGGAGAAGGGAAAAAGTTTTCCCCCTCCAGCTTGCTTACCTTAGCTGCTTGCCTGAATCCATTCCATCAGCAAGCATCTCCCTGCCTACAATCAAGCAGGCAGAGAGTTGTAGACTTCAACTCCCAGAATTCCTCAGCCAGCAAAACAAAGCTGGCTGAGGAATTCTGGGAGTTGAAGTCTACAAGTCTTAAAGTTGCCAAGGTTGGAGACCCCTGTTCTATTGGGTAAGTTTTTTTCCCCTTTGGGATCTTTAAAAAAAATAGTTAATTGGGGGGTTTTTTTAGTTATTCTTTTTTAGACCTAGCCATTTAAAGTTTAGGAAGTTTTAAATTTAGCTTTCATATAAAAATAAAAATAAAATAAAATAAAATAATATTTGTGCAGCTTTCTGAGATTTAGTATGTTTTTGTAGTGTTTCACTCTAACTACACAAACACACAAAATCTCACAAAGCTGTATGTGGAATTTTGTGTGTGTAAAGTGTGAAAGTTGGGTTTTTGGGCTTTTTGTGGCTGTGTGAGGTTCCTGCTTGTTGCAGGGGGCCATTTTGGGTCTAGCACAGCTGCTTTTACATTGTGGGTGAGCCAGTTGTGTTGTGTTGTCTTGGTGTGTGTGTAAAGTGTGAAAGTTGGTTTTTTTGGGCTTTTTGTGGCTGTGTGAGGTTCCTGCTTGTTGCAGGGGCATTTTGGGTCTAGCACAGCTGCTTTTACATTGTGGGTGAGCCAGTTGATGTTTTTTAATTTTTATTTGGTGTGTGTTGGAAGAGGGGTAGTCTTATACGGCGAGTATAGCCCAAACCCTATATTTTAACAGGAAAATTCAGGGGTCGTCTTATACACCCAGTCGTCTTATACGCCGGAAAATATGGTAATAGTTGAGGTCTCGTCTCACAATAGACAGGATTGTAACTCCTTTAATTATATGTCTTTTGCCATGCAATGTCAGCCTAGATATCAGGAAGGCCACAGTATTGATATTTCTGTAAAAAGTCTGAATAATGCCCTGAAGTCATTGTTGGCTTGAGCCAAACAAACCAGGTTTCTTTTATAGAACATAGGGGCTTCTAACATTAGACATCATAAGGTTTTATAATATGAATAATCTATGGCATGCAATAATCATCTTTTTTTTTTTTTTTGGAATGCAAATAAGTAACAAAAAACTCCTGAAATTGTTTTCAGACATCCAGTAACTATATACAGAACCTCAATCATTGGTCGAAGAATATGGATCAAGATGAAAATCAGAAAAGGAACTCTGAAATTACACAGGAGGTTTTTGGCAAAGCGGTAATTTTTATATTTTTAAGTTATCTGTTCTAAATTGTCCTTGGATGGTACTTTGGTGCTCCATCCACAATTTTTTCTGGGGTATGGTAGTATATACAGCACTTAATTATTAATACTTGGTGAATAATGGTAAATAAGCAAGACATTTTGAGTCCAAATGGACTCACAGTAGAAACGGAGATATCTACATCAAGTTTCTAAAATTACAGGAAAACAGAATCAGAAGAAACCTTAAAAGGGCTATGAAGTTAGTTCACTACAATACTAAAAACACATTCCTAGACATGGGATCAGGATGTGGTCAGAAGAACCTATTGCTTAATTGTGAATGTTAATTTTTGTATCTGGTTCTGGATCTGACAAGCATGAAACATATATTCCTCATTTGTAGAATGACTCAGGGCTCAGGGCTATCTTCTCTCCTACTGAATATCTATATGAAACAACTGGGGAGATCATCCATTGGTTTGGAGCCCAATTCCATCAATATGTAGCTGATAGCTAACATACATCTTAACCCTGGATGGACCAAGTGATGCTGTCAGTGCCTTGTTCCAATGTTTGGAAGCTATGGGTCCAGATGATGAGCAACAGATTCAGGTTCAAATGTGCCAAGACTGAGTGGCTTTGTATTTTGACTCCCCCCCAACCTTGCCCTTATCTAGGGACTTTCTTTAAATGTGGATGGGGTTATACTTCTCCACCTTAGACTGGTGCACAATTTGATTTTCTTCTGGGACTCATAGTTCCTTGTCAAAGGGCAGATGCTAGCTGTGTTCAAGACAGTCTTTTCATACTTCCATCTAGCATCCAAGTGATAGACATTCCTGGAATCATAGGGGCCCCAGATGGTCATGCATGCCCTGGTCCCTGTGCAGTTGGACTATTGCAGTGAATACCATATGGGACTCTACTTGAAGACTACACAAAAGCTGCAGCTGATGCAGAATGCAGTAGTATGGGCAGTGGGCATCCCTCAATTTGCCCATATGGCACCACTGCGGAACAAGTTGCATTGATTTCCAGTGAGCTTTCAGATGCAATTCAATGTGCTGGCTATAATCTATAAAGCCTTTAATGGTATAAGAGAGGATCATTTCTTCCATTGTTTCTGTCCATCCAGTAAAACCAGACAATGCTGGTACATTTCAGTTTTCTTTAGTCAAAACAGTGCCACCTGACAGGACCTAGGAAGCATGCTTTCTCTGTTGAATAATATCCCTCCAGAGATCTGATGGTGTTCCAGAAGTCTTTAAATATATGCCTATTTTGCCTGTCCTTGGGGTAGGATGACTTAGAATGTTTTATTAGTTTGGGGTGGGGGAGGGTATTAATGATGTCTATATTGTGGTATGTCTGAATGTATGTGGTCTTTTTTCCTTTTTTTATTGGTTCACTATTCTTTAAAATGTGCAAGTTGTTCAGAGACATTCTGGAATTATTTCACAGGGTATAATGCTCCCCACAAAAGACTTCTGGTGCAGTGATTTACCTTGTTCAAAAGGTTCTTGTTTGTTTTTCAACACATTGGGTTTTTTATTTATATTCCTGTGATAATGTAGGAAATGTGCTTTGGATTTTCTGGCAAAGCTATGCATTAAAACCTACTAGCTGAATTAATATTAGCATAAAATGCATCCTTGGATGAAATATTTATTAAGATATTGTAAGACTGTAAAAGAATTGACTTTCCCATTCAGTGCGGGAAGTTATATGGAATTGAGAAACAACTATTAATATAAAGAACCCCTTAATTAGCATTAAAGTTGTCTTGTCAAATTGGCCTGTGAGAAGAGATGATATTTAGTCTACAAGTATCGCTATAATTTTTAGGTTAATATATTGCAATAAAGAAAAAAGTACACCACATTTATTCTGCATTTTTTGGAGCCTAAAAATTCAACCACATATCTGTCTTTTAAGAAAAACATTGCTCTTCTATCTTAATCAAAATATTATTTTATCTAGCCAACAACACTTTCTGGTTTTGCAATTCTGTTCTTCTGTGTTAGTTACACATACAAATGCATGATTTAAATATTAAAAAATCAAAGCTTAAACTCTGTTATGTTCTGGGGTCTGATTGGAGGGAATAAAGTCCCGATATTTCACTTTTTAAAAAATAATAATAATTTTAGCTATATTGTTAGGTTAACAAAACTTTAGTGAGTGAAGAATATTAATTTCAAATAGTAGAAAATATTTTCCAATATAGGATTCCATTTCAAAATGATTTTGTAAGCTACAGGAAAAAACATTAGCTGCATTTCCATAGAAATCTAGACTCATCTTAAAAGCTTTACATTACTAAACCAACTTCAAAGATCACAAAACAATGCAATTTTAAGATCTTCAGAACTCTTCATTGGCTAAAATGTTTTCCCTCTAGTTCAAAAATTCACAAAATATTGTGAGAAAACATTATATAGAAGTACCAGCTTCCCGAAAATAATTTGGTGCCTAAAATTACACATGACTAAGCTAATGAAATACAACCTCAGATTATACAAATTCCTGTAACCTTAAATCTGAGGCTTAGAGAAATTTCAGATGGAAGGAATCTTACGTTGGAACTAAGGTACAAAGAAAAACAATGCACGGATCTACTATTACGAGTTAATACTAATTCACTCTATAGGCTTATGTGTACCGTGTGTTCTTTTCAGATAATGGATTTACAAGGTCCTGGCATTCCTGAAGAAATTATGTTCTCTCACAGGCATCAAAGAACCCACAAAGATGAGTTTGAGTCTCCTCCCAATAAGTACTGCGAATATGATATTTTTCCTAAATGGCATTTACCAGTGAAAACAGCATTAATACTCTCTTTGTTTATATTTACTTATACCTTCCTAAGGGACATCATCCATCCTTTTGTCACTGCTCAAGAAAACGTATTTTATAAAATTCCAATCTTGGTCATAAACAAAGTCTTACCGGTGGTATCAATTACTCTTCTGGCCTTGGTTTATTTACCTGGGATATTAGCTGCAGGTTTCCAATTCCATTATGGAACTAAGTATAAACGTTTTCCACAATGGTTAGACAGATGGATGTTATCAAGAAAACAATTTGGCCTTCTTAGCTTCTTTTTTGGTTCCATGCATGCCTGTTACAGTTTGTGCTATCCACTGAGGAGATCCTACAGATACAAACTCTTAAACTGGGCGTATCAGCAGGTATGTATTCTTACAGTATCACTACATATACAAACGCACTCACGTGCATTTCTGGTGATCTAGTCTGTAATTTATTTATTTATTTAATTTATATACCGCCCTTCTCCCAAAGGGACTCAGGGCGGTGTACAGCCAGCATAAAACACACAAATATAAAATTTAAAAACAATTTAAAAAATATTAGTTTGGCCCATGTCTAATTAAAATAAAACTACCCGATTTAGACATTTAAAAATTAAGAATTGACAATTAAAAAATTTTAAAAATTAGGCCAGCCTGGCTTGTTGAAATAAAAGCGTCTTGAAGGCCTGGCGGAAGGTGTGTAAGTCAGGAATCCTCCGCATCTCGGGGGGCAATTCGTTCCAGAGGGCAGGAGCCCCCACAGAGAAGGCTCTCCCCCTGGGGTCGCCAGCCGACATTGCTTGGCCGACGGAATCCGGAGGAGCCCCTCTGTAGGAGCAAATTGGCTGGTGGGAGGCTATTGGTAGCAGCAGGCAGTCTTGTAAATACCCAGGTCCTAAGCCATGGAGCGCTCTGAAGGTGGTAACCAATACCTTGAATCGCACTCGGAGGACCACCAGGAGCCAGCGCAGCTCGCACAGGAGAGATGTTACATGGGAGCGCCATGACGCTCCCATAACCACCCGTGCGGCCGCATTCTGGACCAGTTTTTTTTTTTTTTTAATTTGATTTATATGCCGCCCTTCTCCGGAGACGGAGGCGGCTTACAATGCGCTAAGCAATAGCCTTCATCCTTTTGTATATTTATACAAAGTCAGCTTATTGCCCCCACAAACTGGGTCCTCATTTAACCTACCTTAGAAAGGATGGAAGGCTGAGTCGACCTTGAGCCTGGTAAGATTCGAACCTGCAGAAATTGCAGGCAGCTGTGTTAATAACAGGGTGCATTAAACCACTGTACTACCAAGGCTCTTGAGTTGGAGCCTCCGGGTGTTCTTCAAGGGGAGCCCCATGTAGAGAGCATTACAGTAGTCCAGGCAGGAAGTGACGGGGGCATGAGTGACTGTGCATAGGGAGTCCCGATCCAGAAAGGGACGCAATTGGCGGATCAGGAAAACCTGATAAAAAGCCCCCCTGGCCACGGCTGTCACATGTTCTTCTAAGGACAGCCGGGCATCCAGGAGGACACCTAAGTTGCGAGCCCTCTCCGTGGGGGGCAACGACTCGCCCCCAATAGTCAGAGATGGCACCAACTAACTATATCGGGATGCCAAGCCACTCAGTCTTGGACGGGTTGAGCTTGAGCCTGTTTCTCCCCATCCAGATCCGCACGGCCTCCAGGCACCGGGACATCACATCAAGGGCATCATTGGGGTGTAAGGGGTAATGTTGAAAAAATGGATTCAGTGAAGAAAAGAAAGGGTTCTAATTTTGTACATGCTGTAGGCTCCATTCCATTGGATTACTCTTATGTATATAGATATACACAATGCTATTTTACCTATTCTCAACAATTTATTTATTTATTTTATTTATTTAATTAAACTTATATATTGCCCTTCTCCCCAGGGGGACTCAGGGCAGTGGACAGCCAGAAATTAAAACACATATAGTACAAAAGTTAAGAAAAACTAAAATAGATTAAATCAGCGGCATTACCAATTTGAAATCCCAAATCTACAAATTCAAAAAATTCCCAATTTAAAACCCAAAAACCAATAAAATTAAAAGATTAAAAATCCCCATTAAAACCATTTAAACTAGGCCAGCTTGTTGGAATAAATAAGTCTTCAGGGCCTTGTGGAAAGTGCAGAGGTCCAGGATCAGTCATATTTCAGGAGGTAGCTCATTCCACAGGGCGGGTGCCCCCACAAAGAAGGCTCTTCCCCTGGGGAGAGAACTTGAGAATTGTTGTTGAATTGAGATTGGGAATTGGGCTTTTTACCCAATGAAGGCAATTTAGTAGAATCTGTCAAGAACAGTAGCTGATATATTTTTTTTGCACACTGAAAATCATTGACACAAAACATTGCTAGAAATTTTAAATGGTTTTGCAGAAAGTTTTGTCAAAGTGTAGACATGAAGAAAAAAATTATGTAATTTGCATCCTATCACCTATGCTAAATATTAACTTTGTGATAATTTGTAATTTGTACACATCAATTACAGGTAGCCCTAAATGAACTTACAACAGTTCATTTAGTGACCATTCAAAGTTACGACGACACTGGAAAAAGTGACTTATGAACATTTTCCAGACAACCTTTGTAGCAGCCCCACAATCACGTGATCAAAATTCAGATGCTTGGCAATTAGTTCATTCTTACGACCATTGCTATGTCCCAAGGTCATGTGATTGATTACCTTTTGTAATCTTTCAACAAATAAAATCAATGGGGAAGCCAGATTCACTTAATAACCGTGTTACTAACTTATCAACTTTTATGATTCGCTTAACAACTGTGACAAGAAAGGTCATAGAATGGGGCAAAGCTCACTTAAAAAATGTCTCACTTAACAGAAATTTTGGGCTCAATTGTGGTCTTAAGGACTACCTGTATAATAGGATTTTTTGTAAAACATTTGGACTCATGGACTGCTCTAGCAGGTTAACAGTGGTTGCCAAGAGACCTTCCCTTGATTAGTCACTTAAAATATTATTCCTTAGTGCACTACCTGTCACAATATGCCAAAGGTTGTATTTAGCTTGAGAAGGAATTCTGTTTGTCAGCAAATAAAGGGAGTCATGCTGGGAAAAGCAAGTTAACAAGGAATTGGAACTAATCTTCTTAGGGAGTTAAAACTTTGCTGGAGTAAGTAAATATTCAGCCTAATTGACTTTGCTTTGGTGTAGGCTGATGCAATTTCTGTTTGTCATTGGTATAAACAACACAATAGTTTAAATATGGCCATACCCTAATTTGGTACACAAAGCTGAGAAAACACAGCAAAGTAGCAGCTGACTCCTATTTTGTTTATTTATTGTTAAATAATACAGAAGTGGGCTTGTTTACACATATACATTAATTTTTTTTTCTCCCTAATCCCACTGCAATTCCTGACCCATGTATATTTTTATAAGGGGAAACTTCAGTGTTGTCTAAGATGTAACCACAGCTTATATTTCAATCACAGAAATGACAATAGGTTGTCATTCCTAGAGGGTTATCTATACAGTTCCCCAAAATGTATAAAACTAGAATTGAATGTTAAGTACACGTAGGCTGTCAAGGTGCCCTTCTGGTATTTTTCTAACTCTAATATTATTTCCACAGGTACAGAAAAAAAAGGAAAATGCTTGGATTGAACATGATGTCTGGAGAATGGAGATTTATGTATCTCTAGGAATTCTGGCACTTGCTTTGCTGGCTCTGTTGGCAGTAACATCAATTCCATCTGTCAACTATTCATTGACTTGGAGAGAGTTTCATTATATTCAGGTATATGGACGGACTGATGGATCATTACAAAGGATCGTTTAGTAGCAGGGCATGAACTTGGGTGTTACAAGCCAGATGTTCAATCTCTGCTATTCCCAGTTGAAATGATGAAAGAATGATGGGATGCATGGAAGAGAGCGATATCTGTAAACTTAGTCATATTTTCCCTACTCACTTGATCTCAACTCTGCTTGTTGATATATAATTCATGGAACAGTTATGAGAAAGGCTCATTGGTTGAAAAATATTTCCTTTTACTTTAGAATGGAGGTACTGCACTCTTTACGTTCAGAAAACAAAATATTTATTTATTAGAATTCTACACCACTGTTGCATATATTTCATATATTTTACATAATATGTCTTAAGAAGTCTAGAGATAAAGACCCTGATTTTGTAACTATATATTAATATTTTATTGACTAATGTTTTGGAACTAATAGATATCAAGAACAACAAAAAGTATTCTTCAATTTCTTGTAGAATTTTAATACACTTAAGATTATCAACTTTTGAACCAACTCTTTCAGCTTTCATTTTGACACAGTTTGATCCCTGCAGTCAGAAGCAAATGAACATTTATTTCCATGCCTGCTGGTTTGCGATATCAAGTTGCTGTTAATCCCCATGAATAGACTAAGCTGTTCTTTTTACCCTTGTCAACTGATACTCCTAAATATATGTATCTAACAGGTACTGCGAATTATACTTAAATCTTAATTAACTCTAATTAAAATATTTCTTCTTTTTTTTCCTAGAGCAAGATGGGATATTTAGCATTGCTGCTTTGTACTATTCATGCACTAGTATTTGCATGGGATAAATGGATTGATCTACACCAGTACTTATGGTATACTCCACCCACGTTTATAATAGCAGTTATTCTTCCAATTATAGTTCTGACTTGTAAAGTTATCCTGCTGTTCCCATGCTTTAGGAAGAGACTACAAAAGATCAGGTCTGGTTGTGCTGCTGTGACAAATGAGACACAGATCACTTCCAAACTGTAGATTCACTGAGCTTTTCCAAATCCTAAACAAAACAATTGGTACATATAGTTACAGTTCTGTTAGTTCAGGTACATGAAGTACATCTCACTAGACTGGTTGAGGTTTACTTCTGAGATAGTATCTAGGATCAAACTACACAATGGAAAAATCCACTTACTTTTTTTATATTTCAGTTTTTACTGATAAAATCCTGAGATTGTGCCCGATTGAATTATACGAATTCTATATATGAATTCATAAAAAATCCCAAATTTTCAATTTCTTATTCAGAAACTTCTTCAGGAATATTGTGGACCCATAATATTTTTGTACTTGAAGTATGCATTGTATTGCAACCTAAAACATGCAGAACAATACGTAGGCTAAAAATTATAACATGAACAATGGGCTATCCTTGCCTCAATGTTACAGTGACTGAAATTCAATAGGATAGACACAGTACGTTCTTTTGCCCACAAATATCATCTTCCATTCTCCCTTCCTCAGTCTCTCTCACTTCACATACGAAATCCCATTTTAAAAAATCAAAAGATTTGTATATTAATCTGAGTGTATGTACAGATCAACTAATGCAGACAACCTATATAAAATACTTCTTAAAACATAAAATGCTTGTACGAGATGTCACTACATTGGACTAGGGAATATAGCATATGAATTCAGTTGTCAGATAATAGGTGCATAGTCTGAGTAAAAGCAGAACTAGAAAAGGGATGACTTTATCCACCAGCATTTGATCTTCTAACTTATTATTCTATACCTGGAGATTCCAAGACAATGTGCAGTACTTGAAAAAGAGGTGCATGAATGTTAAAAGTCTCATTTTTTAAAGCAACTTTAGGTTTGGTATGTTTGGCACATTCAGTTTATATAACTCTTTGTCAGTTGTGAGCATTACTAGTTATGCTACAGTAGTTTGCTAATGCAAGAGCCAAATAACTGCAGAAAATGCAGTTTTGGTCCTAATAATATAATTAACTTATGACTGAAAGAAGTTTGGGCATGGATCGATCTGGGACTTTCCAATTTTTATGTGTTTTGGGAGAAATGATTTCCATCTGTGCAAAGTTGAGGTCTAATTAATAGGAAAGATTATTCTGAAATCTGGAGAATATTCTCATTTTCTTTTCATTGAACTTTTGTTCTTAAAATTATATTGAGAATTGAATAATGTAAATATAAATTTATGTAAAAGTAGTTATTAGTATACTTTTTGTAAGAATGTATGCAATATAATAAAACTTTCTTACATTTTTTTCAACCTTCATATTCCAGTGGTTTTATGCTAAGTAGAAGTTAAGTGATTGTTCTACAGTAGTCTTTTAAGAAAAGATATGGTGTAGGTAGTTTGTATCCAGAGGGAAATAAACAGTAGGAAACAATTTTCTCCCTGAAAATCTCATCATGTGAATCTTAACACAGGACTGCTGAATAAAAATAATGTATAAGGTACCATAATTTTTCATGGCAACAGTACCAATAAAACAGCAGTGGAGTTAAATTAACCATGAAACAAGTTATCATCCACAATACACATCCAGTAAAGGAGATCTGTAGGCAGAAACAATTGTGTGGTTCTGATTTCTTCACTGATGGGAAGTGAATAAGCAATGCAAGTATATCTTTTATATACATTTTATATCTGATGGGATCTCCATTTATATTGTCATTGTATGTATAAACACAGTATAGCTATACAACAAAATTCACATAACACCCAGAAACCAAGCCCAACACACACGACAATCCCTAGACACACCCCCACCCACCAAAAACTCCTCAGCCTAAACCACCCAAGCATCCACCCAGCAGACCAAGAAATGCTTCCGCCCTTCTCCGGAGACTCAGGGCGGCTTACAGTGCGTTAAGCAATAGCCTTCATACTTTTGTATATTTTATACAAAGTCAGCTTATTTCCCCCACAAACTGGGTCCTCAATTTACCTACCTTAGAAAGGATGGAAGGCTGAGTCAACCTTGAGCCTCGCAAGATTCGAACTTACTTTAATTGCAGATAGCTGGTGTTAAATTACAGTGCCTTGTCTGCAGAGCTATCCAGGCTCCTTCCTGGATAGCTCTGCAGTTCTACAGTTAGTAGTTACATTAGTTCTACAATGAACTAATCCTATAATTAGTTCATTGTAGAGTGCAATTATAGCTCTGGGATAAAAACTATTCAGAAGACTATACTACTGGATGTGGATGGAGTGAGCTCCACTTTGACCAAACAAGTAGAAAATATATTATCAAGTCTTGCTAATTACAAGATGTACATACAACTTTCCCTCTTGGCATAATCAACAACAAATGGATCATTTACTATGACTAACTACAATATAAAATCTAGCATCTGCAATGGCACCACTGGAGAGGAATATAGTTGCTTTCTCTCCAGGAAAATTTTCTCAACTTTAAATTTGAATTAGTCCATTTTGTTTATTTTGGTGAGATTTATTCCTTAACAAGTATGGATAGCGCATTTCTGGTTTAACTTTCAAAATACGAACAGGGTCGAGTGTCAAAACAAGCTGCAAATATGTCCTATTGCATTAGTAATACTAATAGTTTTAGAAGAGGTCTTCTGGAAAAAATTTGCAGTGACCGAGTCTGGGCTACTAAAATCCAATTGATCATAAAATGGCAACAAACTGTAACTTTTGTGTAGACTTACAAAAATCCTTATGGATTGAGCATACCATTTTCATAGATGCATGAGTTGTTATAATAAGCCACACACATGGATATCTACAAAAATATCTAATATTGCATATCATCCTTTCCAAATGTCATTGCTATTTACCACACAATATTTATTTTCTGTATTGAATTAGGGAAAAGATAAATATAAAACGAGTAATGAACAGTAGTTCACAAAATCAACAAACTATAAGAACTCTGCAACCTATACCCAGTTTTTTGGTAGCAAAAAAACTGGATAAAATAAACCTGAGTAACAACATATAGAATGGCTTATCAAAGCACAATAAAATGCATAACTATTGAAAACTTCATCAGTATGTATAATGAGACTTCTAAGTGAGATAACATTTGTAGAATCAGTTTTTAAGGCACCATCAAATTTTCCTTCTGTTTGGTGGATTTGTTTTGTAATTTGTTTTGCATTAAACTAGACTAGTAGCAGTTTAGTTAATTATAGCAGAACATTCCTTACATATATAGTCAGTAACAAGCTATTTCATTTAGTGAGATTTATTCTCATCAAATAACCAAATACAGAATTTTATTTACTCTCTGCCAAAATATTAAATAAAAATTACTGAGGTAAATGAGATAACAAATATGACATCAAAAGAGGGTATTAAAGACCTAGGTTAAAGGCTAAAAGATCAAATGCCTATGAGAGATAACAGTAGGAGGAGGTCAAAGTTAACCCAGTTTACCTTTCTTTTGTGTGTTAATCAATGATGCTATGAAGTTGTCTTCCACAACTTTCAAAAGTATTGGCATCACCTTGCCTGCCTCTGATGCTGATGCTCATTATTATTATTATGGTTGGTTACACTGCCAGATATTTGGACTGAATTTAGCATTCTTATCCACCTATTGAATGCTTCCTAAAAACCTGGGATAGGCAGAATTGATGAGGTTAAATCACAGGATGTAAGTTGTTCCAGGTAAAAGCTGTCTTTTGCAATTGACTGATGGTGTTTTTGCCAATGCCAATAGTAGTCCTCCAAATATTTTTGGATTGCACTAATACGGCTATTATATTGACAGTACCTTTGCTTTCTTTTTCTACAACTGCTCTACTTCTAAGTTTTGTATTTTGTGATTCTCTCCAGTTCTTTCTCTTTTATTCTCCTGTCCCCAGGTACTGCAACGTCCACTATCCAAACTTTTTTTTTCTTTCTTCTCATCAGTCGTTATACTGCTGTGAAGTATAACATAACACTTAAGAGTGTTATGTGTCAGGTGATTGTATGTTCGAATTATTGTTATTGTTGTTATTTACAGATGGAGAATTAGATTAATAATCCAGATAGACGTAGGACATCTTTATGTATAAATGAAGAAAAACTATACAATATTTGGGAGCAAAGTAATAATAGATGTTTCAGTACTGTATGAGAATAAAATAATAATATTCAGTTAGTGTTAGTAAATGATCTTAAATGAAAAATGCTAACAATTGTACATTCACCATGTCACATTTTAAATTAATTTGTTTTTATCTTTGTGATATATATTAAATTACTACTCACAGTTACACAGATTTGTATCATTTTAATATGTGAGAATCATAAAATTGCCAGCTAGATGGGGAGAGGTGTTGCAACTGTGCAATTAAACCTCATTTCTTGTACATGCATAGCATAACTAATAAAAAGGTATGTGGCTTTGGGCAATCATAGCCACCTTTTTAAAATTTTTGACTCACTTATAGACATTCCTAGCCAAATGTATAAGGGAAACTTATAAGCAGGGTGTTGCTATAATTTTGCTTCCTACTTGTTCTCCAGCAACTTCTGAGTCATAAATAGGATGAATTAGAATACTAAATTTGAAATCAGAATACTAAATGGAGGGGAAATTGTTAGCCTAACATGCATTCACAAAAGCAGTAGCAAAGAATTAGCTAAGACAAATACTAAAGTTCAGAAAGATTATATACATGAGGGCATAAGAGCTTTGGTGGCGCAGCAGACTAAAGTGCTGTTAACCAGCTGCCTGCAATTACTGCAAGTTCAAATCACACCAGGCTCAAGGTTGACTCAGCCTTCCATCCTTTCGAGGTAGGTACCATTCTAACAACGGTATACACCTGTAACCTCCAAATTGTAGGTCAGTACTCGGAGCTCAGAAGGTACCCCATAACTTTTTTTGGCCCCAAGGCATGTAGTTCTATTGATTATTTTTGTGTCTCTCACAGCCTAGTAGCAGGGGCAACTTCGGTCTTGACGTTACCAAGGCCAGAAAGTGATCACCTTCCAATTGCAACGTCCTTGGCAATCCCTTCAGATTTAAGGAAAAGGAATCAAACAATCCAACAAATAGGCCTCAACTTAGAAATAGCCCAAGAGAGAAGATTAACATGGAAGAGGGTTGATAGCAAAGCAGTGACTGAATTCATGATTTCACCATGTATGGAAGCCTTAGCGCATAAATGCGCAAACAGTACGGGTGAACAAGAGCCTATAGTTTGTTTTGCGGAAATATGCCATAAATTGAAGCATTTTTCCATGACTACCAAGCCAATGGGCCAGTCTGATTCTAGTAACTCAACATGGTTTGACAGTGACTGTAAGGAAAAGAAAAAACAGCTTAGGAAATCACTTAGGAGATACTTAAGCAGCCCAAACATGGAACTACAGAAGGAGTATATTACCATAAGGCAGAAATATAAGCAGCTACTGAAGAGAAAAAAGGCCTCCTATATCGACAACTTATGGGCTGGTCTAGAACAGGCAGCAAAGCTGGCCTCACCCACACTATTCTGGTTGGAGGTCTCAAAAATTATTAGAGATAGAAAACTAATAAGTGACCCAAACATTAGTGCAGAAAGATGGGAGAAGCATTTGGCCATGCCAGCAGCAGCGGAAAGCTCCGATAAGCTTATATCCTCTCCGAGCTTGATACAGGAATATGAAGCCCTACCGCAGTGGGAAGAAGTGTCAATCATGGAGGTGAGGAGTTTAATCTCCTCCCTGAAGACAAACAAAGCTCCAGGACAGGATGCGCTCCTGGCTTCGTTATTTAAAGATAACATAGCCTGGTGGGCGCCCGTCCTGGCGGGTCTCTTTACTTTTATCAATAGAACAGGGCAAATTCCTGCTAGTTGGCGTTCATCAATAATTATCCCCTTACATAAAAAAGGCTCTAGAGATAACCCAGATAATTTTCGATTAATTAGTCTAATCGATATTTCATCAAAAATTTATGCTAAGCACTTGCTTCATAAATTAGAGGATTGGATAATGAGAAATAACATTTTAGCTGAAGAGCAGTCAGGTTTCAGGAGCGGAAGATCTACTATGGATAATTGTTTTGTGCTGGACCATCTAATAACAAAGTTTAAGTCTTGGAAAAAAACCTCTGTATGTGGCATTCATAGATTTGAAGGCAGCCTTTGATACAATTGATAGAAAAATTTTATGGGATAAATTAGAGGCTATGGGAATAGAAAAGAAATTGTTATATTTAATTCGACTGTTATACACGGAAACCCAAGTAAGAGTTCAAGTGAATAGGTCAGGATCGGTAACAAATGCAAGCCCATTAAAAAAGGGCGTCAGACAAGGTTG